ATTTTTGGCCTCGCTGTTTACTTCTGCTTGACCAGACCCATATTTATGTTTTTCTTTGCCTTATTTCATGTTCAGAGTATATTTTATTCATTTTATGTTTTATACATCGCAAATCTGCTCTAAGGTCCATATTTGTAGCCTATATATATAGATATATATTTTGTTTTTTGAGAGCAAGAGAGAGAGAAAGAAATGCTGAATAAATGCAATTTGAATAATCATGATTTCAATATTGACCAAAATAATCTCGATAATGATTTTTTTCTATAATCGAGCAGCTCTACCTGACACATTAATCTACCAATATTCTCATGTTAATACTTTACATCGGAAACTTTGTCTGCAGTATTTCTTTTTATCTCCTTCTTAGTTTTCTATCTTGTTTATTCGGTTATTTCCACGGCCTCGTATCACCCCATCTGTTTTCACCGAAGTACAACCTGATCCCATCACCATGACGACCCAAAAACTTTTCATTAACTTTTAGTCAACAGCCAAATTACATGTTTCACGGATTAGCGCCGTAGCGTGGTTTAATTGTGTGAACTGGAACATGAAAACCTGCCGCTCCTCCCGTTTCTCAATATCTCATTCAAAAACATGAAACCGGCGGATCCAAAATGGCCGACTTCCTCCTGGTAATTACTGTTTGGTTAGTGGCTTTCGCTTGGCTTCCTTTAGCTGCTCAGGTGAGACTGTTGGAGTTTACTCTGTGGAGATAAATCAACAAGAAGAGTTTAAGTCTAGCCAAAAAAAAACTCTGAATTATCTTCGCGGTATTAGGCCGGGATCCAATTTGAAATTAATTGTTTTGGAGATTACGAGGCTCATCCCTAAAATGTGTTTCTAGCAGCAATTAGACTCACCACGGCGACCGATCTTGTTGATTTCGTGCGCGTTAATTTGCATAATCTATTAAAATGGATGAGTTATGAAGAGGTTGGTGCCAAATGTGGGATTAAAGCGATAGAGATCTGTTTCGCCCTCTCCAAGTCGCGTTAAGGGCAAAAAGTACCTGCAAAGATAATAAAGGATTTAAAAGAACTGTCTGTAATATTTGATTTTGATGTTTTAAAGCTCCGGTAGTACACAAAATTTACTCTTGTGAGATTTAAGGCGCAGTGTGTTGTGCTCGGGACTCGGGGAAAACCGACCTCTACCTCGAGAAAGTGCAATGGAACGGTCAGTCTACCAACACTGGAAAAAAAAACTATTTCTAGGTAAGTTAAAATGACTTAAATTAAGAACATTTGACTTTATTTGAGTAGATTCAACTTGACATGTGAAATTATCTACCAGTGGAAGAAGCATGTTTTTCTTCTTATTTCAAGTGCAGCAAGATGTATTTTCATATTTTAGAACAAAAAGTCTTCTTGGCAGATACTTTTACTTGTCAAGTGAAATTTACTCAAATCATGATAAAACTTTCTTAATTCAAGTCATCTTAACTTGACTAGTTTTTGTTCTTTAATGAGAATATAAATATTCTCATGTTAACAATTCAGAATCAAAACTTTCTATCTGGTATTTTTAATCCACTTTTTTATTTTTCCAGTGGGAAGGGCATTTGACACGTTCGTCCACCAATATTCTCATGTTAATAATTTACATTGAAAACTTTGTGCATCTTTAAAATAAGTCACGTTAAGGGCAAAAAGTACCTGCAAAGATAATAAAGGATTTAAAAGAACTGTGTGTAATATTTGATTTTGATGTTTTAAAGATCCTGTAGTACACAAAATTAACACGTGAGGTTTAGTACGAACTTACATTAGGACTTTAGAACCGTGCTGTGCTCAAGCACGATTGCTGTGAGTTCTATGTTCCGCACTCACACCTGCACAACTGAACCAGGCCACGAACCGATGACGTCATTACACGCCGCTGTTTACATGTCTTGCAACAGAGCAAACGCTTTAGCTAAGAAAAAAAAAGTCCAGCGGCAGAAACATCTTTTTAATAGTGAGGCTCATGTGCGTCCTTTTATGATACGCACTCCTCCGTGAGTTTATGGAAATAAAAACAGCGCGGGGCAGTGAGGACAGGGGGAGACGAGATGCAGCTAAACTTCTGTCAGTCCTTATTGAAGCGCAGGTTTGTCGTGTGTTTTGGAGCAGATTTTATTCACTGTTTTTCTCGTATGAGTAACATCAGCGCGCACATACAGTGTAAATGAGTAACCGTGCCGTGCTTTGGCCCACCTCCTCCAACTGGGCCAATGTCCCAACTGGTCAGCGCTTGGCAACGGTTCGACTGCGTTCACACTGGACAAATGTATCGCATTTTAGGGCCGATCTGTGCTTGGGCACGGTTCTAAAGTCCTAGTGTGAGTGCATCCTTAAAGCGCATTCTGTTGTGAATGATGTTGTGAAAGAAAGTGGAATGAAACGGCCAATCAAATCAGAGTTCCGAAACAGAAACTCGGGGAAGCTCGGTGTAGACCCAGACAGTTGGATTTACGTCACAGAAAAAATGGCAGCACGCAGTAATACACATTATTACTGATGTTGCCATTAATTTTAAGTATTAGGTGAAATGATACTTGAATCAACAATATTATACTTACATCATGCGTCTTTTCTGTTGGAGTAGTTTATGTTTGCTGATATGGTTTTCTGATGGTATTCATAAGCCAACAAAATAAACTTTCTTGGGCATCCATATTTTCCCAAACTGCTGCGATTGAACGAGTTTACAACGAATATCGGGAAAAGTGACTCGGATTTATCAACTACCGACAATAGAATGCAACATTAAACCATGTTCTAATGTTGTTACCTTCTCAAAAACAAACCTGGAGTTGAGTTTTGTTTCATAACTCTTTATTATGAGTCTGTCTACATCTGCAAAGCTCAAAATGCTCTGTTCCACCTCGTGATGTCATGAAGCAGTAGTTTTCAAGATTTAACAGCTCCTTTTACCTTGAATTCTGAAGAGATCGGCAATTCCAGGGCTGAAATGATCCAAATGATTTTAGTGAAGGTTAAAAGTCTAAAAACACAACGGAACGCTTTCATTACCTGTATCACCAAATGACATCACAAGGTGGGACAGAGTGTTTTCTGTTTGAGAGAAGAACTCAGCCTAAATCTAAAAATATAAATGGTAATAATAAATTCTAAATAAGTAACAAAAAACCTCATAATAATCTAAATGAATAAATAATATGTATAAATCAAAATAAAATAGAAAAATAAGTCATAAAAAATTTAAAGTAACCATCTCACATTTACTCAATTACATGTTTTTTATTGACTTAAAAACATGCATTCTTACTGTGACTGTCTTCGTAGAGATAAACAAATATAACGCCATACTGCGGAACATTCCAGGCAATATCTCCATGGAGAGGAGCACCCGAAAAGCTACACAGTGCATCTTTAAAGTCGCCCAAACGTGGTCCTTAAACCCCCGAAATAATGCAGAATATGGGACTATTGATCACACGTGCGAATTTGCATCAAATCTGAATATTTATGAAGCGCCAGAGATCGGGATTTTGTGCGAAAACGACGAAGCGATTTGATCTTTTGTGGCCCTCTGCTTCCTCTATTACACCTTGAAAAAACCTGAAAGGATCTGAAGTCATTGTCTGTCTTATCAAAATGCAAACCCAGGACCACTTTTCCATTAAAACTCTCTATATTCTATAAATACTCCCTTTTACCCAATGAAAACCGCTAAAGCCTTCCCTGAATATGGTTCATAGGACAATCGCACATTGTTGGGTAATTTCTATTGTCGATATGGGAAGTCATTTAATTTGAGAATATAAGGTTTCATATCAAAAGAGCCAAGAGTTTAAAATTCAACTCGTTCCGGCCGTTCTCGTTGAATTTATGAATGAAGGCTGGAACTTTTTGTGGGGGTTTTTCGAGGCAGAAATGGAGCGATGACGGTGCAGATAAGTTCGATTGTGGACACTTTTTTTCAATGGGCTCTGTTTTATTGATATGTGAGAGCCATCTTTGACTCCCGTGAGCTTTTCAGTGGGAGTTTTTTGTTAAAAGTCCACGTGCTCGGGCTGAATACTGATTCTGCGGTCCCTGTGGGTTTGGTAATGCCGCTCTCCGTGGAATAAAGATACAAGATAATCAATGAAGCTTCAAAAATATAAGACTTTGTGCGATAGATTAATTAACTTTTTGGAGCTTTTTGAGTATCTTAATGTCACATCCCTGGAGTTGAATTGTTTGTCTTTTTATCTTAAACTGTCTGGTGTAATCTTATTTAGTCTGACTCAACTCAAAAAACACTTTAGAACCAGGTTAGAAAGCTTTGGAACTACTTTCAAACAGTGGTCGTTCATAAAGTCAGATTTACTCTCTCAGCTCTAAAAAGGTTAGATCGCTTTATTCGTACCCGTAGGTAAATTTGTTTTGCAGATTTGAACGGCTGGTCCCGCATTTCACATTTCATTTCTCCACATTACATACAATAACACGTATAAAAACACAGTTACAAAATAAAGAGTTACAGAGCTCCAGTGCAGAATGGTTTGTCCCATCAACAATTTACGGAAGCCGAGCGGGGTCACAACAAACGCAAACGCCGCAACGAATACAAATGCGACAACACTAAAAAAGCCACAACACACCAAAAAAATTCAACAACGGAAATGACCCCGGGACTCTATTTTAATGCAAACGCCGCAACAAATACAAACACCACAACACAAACGCAAATTCCACAACACATTAAAAAGCCACAACACATTAAAAAGCCACTAGAATGTGAGTTTTTCAAGGTATTTTTGAGCAGTAGGAACATGCTTTATTGAACAAATACTGCAGATACTCCATTGTAACGCAAACAAATCTCCATGGCAACGACCCCACATTAGAAAAGTTACGTAGTGCACCTTTAACATCTGCGCTATAGCTTTAAAGGTAACGTTTTGTCATATGTTTTTCTCTGTTGAGATGTTATTGCTTTGTCTGGAATGTTTCACAGTATGGCATTAAACCTTTCTATCTTCACGGAGACCAAACCAGACCAAGTTACAGGTCAGATCTGCGGAGAGGCGACCCCGCTCTCAGTCAGAATGTTGTTTTTCTAGGTATTTTTGAGCTCTAAAACCACCTGTAATTGAATAAACATAAAGTAGAACTGTTTAATGTCACACTGTGGAACATTCGGCTTAGGTTACATGGAGTGGATACAGATGTCATGCTGATGTTTTACAGAGCATGCGTGGAATCAATTTTACGTTATGGCATGTTGTATGACATGGTTTGGTAACCTGTCAGTCAAACTTAAATCACAGATTTTTACCTTGACTAAAAGAGCGGGTAACATAATGGGTGTGGCCCCGAGCTCACTGCAGCAACTTTTTGAGGAGACTGTGAGGAAGCTCGGCAGGAAGGTGATCAGTGACCCAACCCATGTTCTTCAGTCAGTTTGAGTTGATGTCGTCAGGCAGAAGGTTCAGGGTCCCAAACTGTAAACTGAACAGATTCAAACATTCTTTTGCCGTTAATCTGCTAAACTCAGATAGTGCAGTTAAAAAAATGATTCTAAAAGCCTTAGGGAATGTGCAATCAAAACTGCACATAGATTTAGGGAATGTGCAATCAAAACTGCACATAGATTTAGGGAATGTGCAATCAAAACTGCACATAGATTTAGGGAATGTGCAAGCAAAAGTGCACATAGGCTCAAGGGGAATGTGCAATCAAAACTGCACATAGGCTCAAGGGGAATGTGCAATTAAAACTGCACATAGGCTCAAGGGGAATGTGCAATTAAAACTGCACATAGGCTCAAGGGGAGTGTGCAATCAAAACTGCACATAGGCTCAAGGTGAATGTGCAATCAAAACTGCACATAGGCTCAAGGGGAATGTGCAATCAAAACTGCACATGGGCTTAGGGAATGTGCAATCAAAACTGCACATAGGTTTAGGAAGTGTGCAATCAAAACTGCACATAGGTTCAGGGAATGTGCAATTAAACTGCACATAAGCTCAAGGGGAATGTGCAATCAAAACTGCACATAGGCTCAAGGGGAATGTGCAATCAAAACTGCACATAGGCTCAAGGGGAATGTGCAATCAAAACTGCACATAGGTTTAGGAAGTGTGCAATCAAAACTGCACATAGGTTCAAGGGGGATGTGCAATCAAAACTGCACATAGGTTTAGGGAATGTGCAATCAAAACTGCACATAGGTTTAGGGAATGTGCAATCAAAACTGTACATAGGCTCTAGGGGAATGTGCAATCAAAACTGCACATAGGTCTAGGGAATGTGCAATCAAAACTGCACATAGGCTCAAGGGGAATGTGCAATCAAAACTGCACATAGGTTTAGGAAGTGTGCAATCAAAACTGTACATAGGCTTGGGAATGTGCAATTTTTAATAGAATACAAGAATGCAGAGGGCTTGCCTGTGAAGAATAATTTAAAGGTCCTGTTGGTGCATCACTCGTGGTCATACTTGGTCTCGTATCTATTTTTGTTCTATGGTGTTTGTTTATGTGGTGCTTTATGCTGTGTTGTCCTGTTGTTGTTGTTTTTTTGATAAAGCATGTTACCCCCTGTCCCAAGACAAATTTCTCCCATGGGAGACAATAAAGGATTGTCTTATCTTATCTTATTCTATTCCAGACAACGCCTTAACATCTCCACCAGAAAAGTTACACAGCGCACCTTTAAATCCTCTCCTCTTTTGCCCAAACCCCACCGCGTCCGTCCGAAACGAGCCCGTAGTTTGAGGCGTCCTTCGTCCACTGAGCAGCGAGCACTGATCAGACCCGAGCTGCCCACAGTGACAAGAACACATGACGGACCACCACCTCGCCTCGTCTGCCCAACGGCGCCACCCACCGCCCGTAGACACAAACGCGTAGCCCATAAAACCAGCTACCCTTTGAGTACACTTTTGATAATGGACGACTTTGTGAACGCGCCGGGGGAATTAAAGCAATTTTCCTCTCCAAACATTCTTTACTTAGTTGTAATTAATTAGCGACTGTAGGTTTTTTGGCTGGTGATAAATGGCTTCGTTCTCTCGCAGATAGCCCAAAAAACGTAGGTCAGACATTTTTTATTTTTTTTGTTCGCTGGAGCATGTTGTTGTTGGCGCAAACATGAAGGTGTCCCTGTCATGCTAAATTTAATACTCACACGAAAAGAAAAAGGAAAAAAAAAATGGTAAATGACTTTGACTCTGAGCCAAATACAAAGAAGGTCACCTCAATAATGTTAGTTTAACGAAAATGTGAAATTATGAATGTGAAATTAAAGCTATAGAAGGCTGTATTTTTATAGAGAATCAGATTTAAATGGAAAAAAAAAATGGCATAAGTGACGAAAATTATCTTTTACTCCATATTTGCCACGTTTACATGAGAGCTTTAATTCAGAACTAAAATAATTTAATCTATAAACTATAAAACTAAACTATATTATCGCCAAAAGGACCAACATTTCCATGGCAACGAGCAGGTGAAGGCCCAAGTCCAGGTCAAATAAGGCCACGTTCAGACTGCAGGGCTTAATGCTCAACTCAGATTTTTTTGTGAAATCAGATTTTTTTGCAAAGTTGTTCACATTTCCATTTAAATATGATTTGTATGTGATCTCCAGTGTGAACTTTAAACGCCCCAAAAGCAGACTTGGGGACTTGACTCAAGTCAGACTTGAGTCACTATTTTTAGGAATTGAGACTTGACTTGATAAAATGCATTAAGACTTGGGACTCAACTTGGACTTGAGGCCTGTGACTTGAGAAGCACTTTTAAATCTGAATTTATTTTATTCTGACTGTAATGATTCAGCTACATCCAAAAATGGATAACGGCCGTTTCCAGTTTTCGTGACTTAAACTGCGATGCCAAACTGAACCAGGACTGAACCAGGTCCAGGACCAGACCGGAACCAGACCGGGAGTGAGACCAGGACTGAGGCTGGGACCAGACCAGGACCAGACCATGAGTGAGACCGGGACCAGACTGGGACTTAAAACGGGACTGAAAGCGGGACTGAAGCTGGGACTAGACTGGGCCTAGACTGGGCCTAGACCGGGACTAAGACCGTGACCAGAGCAGGACTGAAAACTGTTCAGTCCTGGTTCAGTCCGTATGCGGCGCAAAAGTCCGGCATCGCAGTTTAAGTCACGTAAACAAAAAACGGCCTTTATCCTTTTTTTTCCCCCCAATTTTCATTTAAACACAAAATCAAAAACTGAAAAAACTAATCATTATCTGGGTTTTTTTTTCATTTCGGTTTTGGAGACAAATAATGAAGAAAATTGTTGTTTTTTTCGTTCTTATTTTTGGTTTTATTTTGAAAAACAAATGAACGAATGACACACGGATTTAAGACAGTCGACAATCTACTTTATGTTTACAAATGTCTCTTTAAATCTTGGTCAAATAAGAAATGAAGCCGGTCAAAAACTAACCAGGTAAACAAGGAAACAAAACAATGTCCAGAAGAGTAGGTCTACATTTTAAAAACATTATTCACAACTGAAAAAGGAGCAAGAAGTTCCTGTGTAACTCGTGTATTTCCTCTCTACTCTGGTGTATAAATGTGTGTGAGCGTTTGAGACTGGTCCAGAATGAGGCCAGGGAGAATAAATAGCCCGGTTCTGGCTCAGAGTCCAAACGGAGATGTTTTAATGAGCGCCGGTCTCACTGCGGCGCTAACACAACAAAGGCCCCGGACACGGCTAACGAGGCTAACACCGCTAATGATGCTAACAGCGCTAACAAGCTAACACCACAACAGCTTCACAAAGAGCTGACGGGAACCGGACAATACACGACCACCACGGAAAAACAGACAAATTCAGTATCACAGGGAGACTTTTGGTGACATTAATGAGTGTGTATACATGCACATCAATAACCCGGTGATGATCGGGTTTTTTGAGTATCCCAGTTTCTTCATGGTGCATGTAAACGCAGTAACCCGGTTTCAGTATCGTGGTTATGGCAGTATCCCGGTTATTAGAAACCGGGTTACTGTAGCTGGTTTATTCCGATAGTAACCGGGTTACTTGTGGCATGTAAACGCAGTATCCCGATTACTGCAACATAAAGTTGAGTGCGCATGCGTCCAAAAGACACTTTCTAGTCTTTTCACCACAACAGTAGCGACATAAATAAATTGACCAACATAAATAAAGTGACCAAACGAGTGAAATGACTGTAAAATTAAGAGCTGCGCTAAACCTGCACACGTACAATCTGCACTCGTACGACCTGCACTCGTGTGACGCTGAAAAACTAAAACATGAACTATCTCCTATACAACACACGCACGGAACACACTTACCATCATTAACACCTCTTCTGTCACAGAAATAACACACATAATCCACAGAGTCGTGTCATTTAGTCCAAAAGAAACTGATCGCATCAGCGGCGCAAGGAGCGAGTTGTTTTTATTACCACTAATAGTTTATGCTAATTAGCCAAACGGTCTTAAGTTTCGTTTCTGTAAAACGTAAACAAATGTGATCAGAGCTGAATTATCTGATCAAACGGGCTGATGTGTCTACAGTGTTTATGGTTTATATGTTGTAAAGTTGAGTTTATTTATGCAGAAGATTTTAATGAAGAATCTGTTGGGTTTGATGTGTGCAGTGGATTGTGGGAGATCTCGTAGCTCCTTAGCTTCTTATGCTAAAGGAGCTCACGGTTTGTATTTTTCCTGGTTTATGAAATTGATTTAAGTTAATTTTTGCGCCTGCGCATTTGTAAGATTATGTCAAGAAACCGGGATACTCCATTTGATCATGTACACGCGGATATGAGTGTCCCGGTTTCTGAGTGCACATGTAAACGCAGTAACCCGAATACTGACATAACTGGGATATGGCTAATAACCGGGTTATTGATGTACATGTATACACACTCAATGTTGTAATTGAACTGTACACATTCAAATAAGGGATGGAAAACAAGTTAATAGGGATGTTTTCTTTTTTTTTTTAGTTAATAGGGATGTAACAAAATGCGTGTATCATTTGTTTTTCAAAATAAAACCAAAAATAA